GATGGAGGTTGATGAAGACTAGGGAACTTGAGACGAAGGTTGATGAAGACCGGGAACTTGAGATGAAGGTTGATGACGACTAAGGAACTTCAGATGAAGGTTGATGAAGACTAAGGAACTTGGGATGAAGGTTGATGACGACTAAGGAACTTGAGATGAAGGTTGATGAAGACTAAGGAGCTTGAAATGAAGGTTGATGAAAACCGGGACCTTGAGATGAAGGTTGATGAAGACCGGGAACTTGAGATGGAGGTTGATGAAGATTAAGGAACTTGAGATGAGGGTTGATGAAGACTAAGGAACTTGAAATGGAGGTTGATGAAGATTAAGGAACTTGAGATGAAGGTTGATGCAGACTTAGGAAATTGAGATGAGGGTTGATGAAGAAGACTTAGGAACCTGAGATTAAGGTTGATGAAGACAGGGAACTTGAGATGAGGGTTGATGAAGACTAAGGAACTTGAAATGGAGGTTGATGAAGATTAAGGACTTGAGATGAAGAATGATGCAGACTTAGGAAATTGAGATGAGGGTTGATGAAGACTTAGGAACCTGAGATTAAGGTTGATGAAGACAGGGAACTTGAGATGAGGGTTGATGAAGACTAAGGAACTTGAAATGAAGGTTGATGAAAACCGGGACCTTGAGATGGAGGTTGATGAAGACTAGGGAACTTGAGACGAAGGTTGATGAAGACCGGGAACTTGAGATGAAGGTTGATGACGACTAAGGAACTTGAGATGAAGGTTGATGAAGACTAAGGAACTTGAAATGAAGGTTGATGAAAAAGGAACTTGAGATGAAGGTTGATGAAGACTAAGGAGCTTGAAATGAAGGTTGATGAAAACCGGGACCTTGAGATGAAGGTTGATGAAGACCGAGAACTTGAGATAAGTGTTGATGAAGACCGGGAACTTGAGATGAAGGTTGATGAAGACTAAGGAGCTTGAAATGAAGGTTGATGAAGACCGGGAACTTGAGATGAATGTTGATGAAGACTAAGGAACTTGAGATGAAGGTTGATGAAGACCGGGAACTTGAGATAAGTGTTGATGAAGACCGGGAACTTGAGATGAAGGTTGATGAAGACTAAGGAGCTTGAAATGAAGGTTGATGAAGACCGGGAACTTAAGATGAATGTTGATGAAGACTAAGGAACTTGAGATGAAGGTTGATGAAGACTAAGGAACTTAAGATGAGGGTTGATGAAGACTAAGGAACTTGAGATGAAGGTTGATGAAGACTAAGGAATTTGAGATGAAGGTTGATGAAGACCGGGAACTTGAGATGGAGGTTGATGAAGATTAAGGAACTTGAGATGAAGGTTGATGAAGACTAAGGAACTTGAAATGGAGGTTGATGAAGATTAAGGAACTTGAGATGAAGAATGATGCAGACTTAGAAAATTGAGATGAGGGTTGATGAAGACTTAGGAACCTGAGATTAAGGTTGATGAAGACAGGGAACTTGAGATGAGGGTTGATGAAGACTAAGGAACTTGAAATGGAGGTTGATGAAGAATAAGGACTTGAGATGAAGAATGATGCAGACTTAGGAAATTGAGATGAGGGTTGATGAAGACTTAGGAACCTGAGATTAAGGTTGATGAAGACAGGGAACTTGAGATGAGGGTTGATGAAGACTAAGGAGCTTGAAATGAAGGTTGATGAAAACCGGGACCTTGAGATGGAGGTTGATGAAGACCGAGAACTTGAGATAAGTGTTGATGAAAACCGGGAACTTGAGATGAAGGTTGATGAAGACTAAGGAGCTTGAAATGAAAGTTGATGAAGACCGGGAACTTAAGATGAATGTTGATGAAGACTAAGGAACTTGAGATGAAGGTTGATGAAGACTAAGGGAGACTTGAGACTTGAGATGAAGGTTGATGAAGACTAAGGAATTTGAGATGAAGGTTGATGAAGACCGGGAACTTGAGATGGAGGTTGATGAAGATTAAGGAACTTGAGATGAAGGTTGATGAAGACTAAGGAACTTGAAATGGAGGTTGATGAAGATTAAGGAACTTGAGATGAAGAATGATGCAGACTTAGGAAATTGAGATGAGGGTTGATGAAGACTTAGGAACCTGAGATTAAGGTTGATGAAGACAGGGAACTTGAGATGAGGGTTGATGAAGACTAAGGAGCTTGAAATGAAGGTTGATGAAAACCGGGACCTTGAGATGGAGGTTGATGAAGACTAGGGAACTTGAGACGAAGGTTGATGAAGACCAGGAACTTGAGATGAAGGTTGATGACGACTAAGGAACTTCAGATGAAGGTTGATGAAGACTAAGGAACTTGGGATGAAGGTTGATGACGACTAAGGAACTTGAGATGAAGGTTGATGAAGACTAAGGAGCTTGAAATGAAGGTTGATGAAAACCGGGACCTTGAGATGAAGGTTGATGAAGACCGGGAACTTGAGATGAAGGTTGATGAAGATTAAGGAACTTGAGATGAGGGTTGATGAAGACTAAGGAACTTGAAATGGAGGTTGATGAAGATTAAGGAACTTGAGATGAAGAATGATGCAGACTTAGGAAATTGAGATGAGGGTTGATGAAGACTTAGGAACCTGAGATTAAGGTTGATGAAGACAGGGAACTTGAGATGAGGGTTGATGAAGACTAAGGAACTTGAAATGGAGGTTGATGAAGAATAAGGACTTGAGATGAAGAATGATGCAGACTTAGGAAATTGAGATGAGGGTTGATGAAGACTTAGGAACCTGAGATTAAGGTTGATGAAGACAGGGAACTTGAGATGAGGGTTGATGAAGACTAAGGAGCTTGAAATGAAGGTTGATGAAGACTTAGGAACTTGAGATGGAGGTTGATGAAGACTAAGGAACTTGAGATGAAGGTTGATGAAGACCGGGAACTTGAGATGAAGGTTGATGAAGACTAAGGAACTTAAAATGAGGGTTGATGAAGACCGAGAACTTGAGATGGAGGTTGATGAAGACCGAGAACTTGAGATGAAGGTTGATGAAGACCGGGAACTTGAGATGAAGGTTGATGAAGACTAAGGAGCTTGAAATGAAGGTTGATGAAGACTTAGGAACTTGAGATGGAGGTTGATGAAGACTAAGGAACTTGAGATGAAGGTTGATGAAGACCGGGAACTTGAGATGGAGGTTGATGAAGATTAAGGAACTTGAGATGAGGGTTGATGAAGACTAAGGAACTTGAAATGGAGGTTGATGAAGATTAAGGAACTTGAGATGAAGAATGATGCAGACTTAGGAAATTGAGATGAGGGTTGATGAAGACTTAGGAACCTGAGATTTAGGTTGATGAAGACAGGGAACTTGAGATGAGGGTTGATGAAGACCGTGAGCTTGAGATTGAGGTTGATGAAGACCGGGAACTTGAGATGGAGGTTGATGAAGACCGAGAACTTGAGATGGAGGTTGATGAAGACTTAGGAACTTGAGATGAAGGTTGATGAAGACTAAGGAGCTTGAAATGAAGGTTGATGAAGACTTAGGAACCTGAGATGAAGGTTGTTGAAGACTGGGGTACTTGAGAAAAGGTTGTTGAAGACTGGGGTACTTGAGAAAAGGTTGTTGAAGACTGGGGAAATGTGATAATCGTCACTATGAACATTTTATTTTACTTTCTTGTACGATTTGAAGCAATAATTGTTCGATGTTACGTCCCATGTTTGGTGGTTGTGCTCTTGCTTCAACTAGAAATTTATTACTTGGATTGACATTTACATGACGGTTTTCGTGGATGAAGTATAAGATGGTTACCATTCTTGAACACCTTGTCATATCATCTTTGTACTTGTCAATGGTGTCCTTTTGATGAAAATTATGGGGGAGTTTTATGGTCGTCATAGTGATCTCTTTGAGAAATATTCTATTTCTTTGTGCGATTTGAAGCTGAAAGTGCTTGATGGTCGTTAACATGCCTTTTGGTATTGTTATTGTACACTTTGTTCTCATTTGAGAACGTGGCATTACTTACTTGGATTAACTAAGAATTACACGACGGGTGTCATCGATTAAATAGAAAACGCTTACTCTTTCTTATCACCTGGTTTTGTTCTCCTAGCCGTTTTTTCTGATCATGATTTTGTTGATATATTGGTATTTTCTTGTTGTTTTCTTTATCATAGTATGTCCTCCTTTTATTGATTTTGAGGTTGAATTAAGATGATGGTGACATTTCAGTGCTGTTCTGAACTGTTTTTATCTCTAAGCAATAGATAATATCAATTTACTCAAGTCCACAATTCATGATAAATGTGAGAACATGAACGCCTACTCCGAAGGTTCATTTTAGTCTGAATTCTGACTTTGTTAAAACCTGCGCATTTTCCGAGAGTTTCCATATTTTAAAATGTGGATATCAAGAAATTAGCAATGTGTGAAGAATTAATAGCAATCCTGACTTAATATTAAAATGAGTCAAGAACGTTAAAAAAATCATTTATAGGGAAACCCACTAGAATACCCTTGTAAGATAAATCCGTATGTTCTGGAAAGGTCAAATTGTTTTTCTCAATGACGATATACGGAAATGAACACCGAACACGTCATATTTGAACGCATAAAGGTAGTTCGTGATCATAATCATGAAACATTGACTTTATCAGACCGCATCTCACATAACTCTGAAGTCATCCTATATACATTAAAAACTTAAAAACAAGAAAATACCAAAATGTCAACATAATCACAATTCAAATTCAGATTCAATAAAACTAGGACAAAGTATGACCAAAAGAAATATTTACACGGAAAATCTCGAAAAAGTACAAAGAAAATAAGATCAAATGTCCACTACTTCAGCCACAATTTAAATATATATTTAGTTTCACTGAAAACCTTATCTATTTTCAACTCATTCTTTAGATGAAAATGATCAAATAACTATAAACTCTTACTGAAAAATATGCTTACTGTGAATAAAAGTTTAAAAAATGTAACATTCCCTAATTATTAGCATCCACAACCCGATTACAGTAGATAATGTATAGGAGACTATGAATGATGCATACGAGACTATCAATGATACATACGAGACTATCAATAATACATACGAGACTATAGATAATGCATACGAGACTATAGATAATGCATACGAGACTATCAATGATACATACGAGACTATAGATAATGTATACGAGACTATCAATGATACATACGAGACTATAGATAATGCATACGAGACTATAAATGATGCATACGAGACTATTAAAGATACATACGAGACTATAAATGAAGCATACGAGACTATAAATGATGCATACGGGACTATTAATGATACATGCGAGGCTATAAATGATGCGTACGAGACTATAGATGATGCGTACGAAACAATAGATGAATGCAATTAGATAAATTTCAAATATTCAGACTAGAAACAATGATTGACTTCATGTGGAGGTTGTAGATCTGTAATTTGAGAATCAAGGTAAGAATCAGTTTACGATTTGAGGACTGGATCTGATGATTCAATCTGCTGTCAAGTTCTCGTTAAAACTATATCTTATACAAGTCTTCATATATTTCTATTTTCCGGATCCACTTGATAAAATACAAAAACCCATTTATCATATATGTCTCGTATACAATTAAATATCAAAATTGTACAATATTCATTGTGTAAATAAGGAAGCCATCGGTAAAATACCTGTCACTTGTTTTAAAATGTCAGAAATGTTCATGTACTTTTGCTGTTGACAATGACAAAAATTTGACATTAGAACTGTTCGGAGATGACATCTAATACACAAGTACAATGTATGAAGAATGCGTTTAATTATGTCAGAAAGTGTTAATTCTTAATTAGCTACAGCTGTTAAAACTATTATATATTATTGGAATGTTGATGACAGATTTCCGTGTTAGTTGTTATAACTTATTAATTACATGTATATTAATTTGAACAGGAAGCTTAAAGTTATCAAATCCGTTTAATAAAATCTTCTGGTTTTCTGTAGACATAAATAAAGACGGTGTTGGTGTGTTACGTTAAATGAAGTGCATGAAGGCATTTCGGAACTTTAAATTGTTCTGTTACTATTACGTTTGATGGAATGAGAATATTCAAGTTAAGAAAACGGCAAAAATAGCGCGAAATGTACATTGCTGTTGATTTCGTCGATATCAGAATCAGTACCGTCAGAGATGTTATCCCCATATGCGCCTAAATGACTTAAAATAATATAAGTCGTGCTGAAAACAAAAAATAACCGTAATGGCAGGAATATGAATGCCAATGGCGTGCCTATGTTTCCCGATCTCCTGTGTTCTACAATTATTTCTTTTCATTTACAATTTAGATAAGCATGTTTCAGTGGGAAATATTCTATAGTATGGTGTTAAGATAGATTATTTTGGGGCATCCGTCCTTTTTTGTAGATGTTTTTGTATACCATAAATGTTTGAAGACACTCTGCAACTCATCAAATGTTTCTTAAAACATAACTGTTTACGATATTACTGGAACCTCCACTATATACACGGTGAAGTTTCACAGCTCTTCTATAAATATATATAGATATATAATTTCTTACAACCCTGATTTCATGTTTGTTAAACGAATCTAACTTTTAAACTTTTTTTCTCTCTTTTTGAGATTCGGAACAAGATATCAGTGTCACCATGTACCATCATTGGCCGAACTCGTCTCTGTACCGGAACGTTCACCCATATTTATTACAACAATATTCAAATTTATTCATCGATCTTACCTGCCTAGATTCAAAATGACCAGCTTAAAATTAATTGGTAGACATATCTAGGTGTTTGCTTTCACATATTTGGAGGGTTTTATTAAAAAAAACTATTTTGACGTTTAACACGTGTGTATTATATTAATACATCTCTAATCCTGTTACTTAGGACCAGGTGTTCGACGTGACTAGCCATCTTACGAGAACTGCATGGTTCCCGAACATTCCTACTTCCTTCCAATCTACGACACACACATGGATGCCGATTAAAATCAAAATGGATGATTAAATCGAAAATAACATATAAATGTCTATGTTCTTCTGTAACTTGAACATTCATGTATACAAATTTACCACCTGTAAACGTATTTGGCCATTGCATAATTAAGCGTTTAATTTAGCATGATTTTTACTTATTTGTGGGTAATATTCGCATGAAATTTAACTTCTTGATATTCGCTGCCATTCAAGATTGCTTGAATTTAGATACACGGAAATTGTTTCACAGCGGAAAAAAACACCACACGCCAGCAAATGTTCTGATTGATGCTTAGGTTGGCGTTTCGCAAACTGTAATCTGCCCTCACCCAAGACAATCGCGAAATATTAGTCCCGCGAAATTGAACAATTATGCAGGATTATTGCATAATCACATATATTTTAAACAAAGCGTAGCCGAGTTTACTACAGTACATAGTTGGCATCTTGTGTATAATGGTTAATAGCCTGTTTACCATTTCGTCACACTATTTTCTACCTTAGTGTACATAGGTATAAGAGTATAATTTAGCCGCAAAAATTGGGCAGTTCCTTACTTTCTCATACACTACGTACGTCAGTGCTAATACACTCCACAATGGTCATTTGTCTGATGAAGATGACTGTGTAGCCATCGAAACGTCACACTCTAATCATCTACTGGTTGTGTTATTAGTACCTCTATTCTGTTGATTAAAATGAATGAACATCCGGTATCAATGTGATACCTGTTACACCCGAGATATAAGATTGATTGACAAAGTGATCTAGTATACCTGTATGATGGATATCAACATTAGTATAGGTGAAACATAAATGAGACTATGGAAAATGTCCGCATTTATTATGAGTTAAATAGCGCCTCATCTATTTGGAATATATAATTTGTAATATGGCGCCCCATCTATTCGGAATATATCATTTGTGATATGGCGCCTCATCTATTTGGAATATATAATTTGTAATATGGCGCCTCATCTATTCCGATTTACTTAAAGCTTGCTCAACAAATTACACGTTTATTTGTTTACTTGTTTACTCACGAGTTCGCACCAAATGATAAACTCGTTTTCTCTGAAGTTTGTATTAGTTCTGACGTAGTAACTACACAGTCACCTCTTTTATATTATCCTCACTTCCCGTAGTATATTTGGCCAAAGCATTGTCAAATATTTGAGCTTATAATACTAACAATTGATGGACATTTGTCGCTATGGATATATGGTCATATATAAAGATGAGTCTTAACCCTGCTGAAGTTATCATTAAGCCAGAGAGGTTTAAGAAGGTAACGGAAAACCATTTCTTTGACTGAGAGCAGTGTACTGTTTGAAGTAACGTCATCATAACATTACCAACAGGTTTCCATACATTTTTGACCTTTGTACAATGTAAATACTTCTCTTTAGCTTGATCGGTTGAGCGTCAGACTATTAAGTCAGCGGTGCCGGGTTCGAATCCTAATGAAGGCGTTGAAATAAATAATGACCACTGTTCAACACTGATTTACCACAAGTTTGGGATGCACGAAGTTAAATGTATGTCCTTTTATTCAAAATGTGGAAAATGTTTTTTTTTATCGTTATACAAAGCAGAAAAATCAACGGAATACATTTCGTGTAGAAGATGATGACGTTACAATTAAAGTGACGTCATAAAACATGGAGGGTTTGTAACTTTTTTCGGGGATTTTGTCAACAACCATGTCTGAGTGCAGAAAACAACTCTATGGTCCAGATATTTGCAAAACAATTATATTTTCATAACACCAACCCTAGTTTGATAAGGAAACAATGATGTTGTCTAACATACTGCGCTATTGACACACACGTGGTCTGGTCTTGATCAATAGGTGCCAGTGTGAATTTATTATGTGATATACGGGCATGTGTTTTTAATCTTTAACTATCAGTCTATCCGAACAATTACAGCTGAAGAGATGAATGACAGGACGGTTGGAAAGTTGTTTCCATGAAATTTTGATGCAATGTCTAATCTGGAGGTTGGGAATGCATTTTCTGTATACATGGGTGCGATTCTGAGACCTCTCCGCATATCGATACGTCCCTTTTACAATCCAAACGTCTTTGGCGACACTGTCAAAATCACATACCGTAGAGATGAAGTCGAATTTCAACAGAACGTCATTGTAGAGGAGGTGTTATGCACCCAACCGAGCAGTGTTCTTCATTGTAGCATGCAGCTAGGAGCACTCGGGATTGCTTTACACATTGACTGCATTCTGTGTCTATAATTGACCTTTGAACCAAACACAGCTTCACTATAGCCCTTGGGTAAACAAGTCAGCAGGGAGACACAATCACCCTTGTTGCTTTTAATTACAATCCAGTGGGGAGGGAACATAAAGATTTTCTATGTTGAACCCTCGATGTCAGGCCATGATTCCACCATTCATTCGGAAATACAAACCTATTAGATTTTTCGTGAAAAACCTCAACTACAATTGAAATAGCTTTCCGTTGAATGGCATAATTTTGTATGTGTTTAAATTACAGTTGATGGAGAGATAATTAGAGAGAGTGGTCAGTTCGATGTGGTCAGCGTTACTGACCAGCCGGACATAGCCCTCGATAAATCTCGCGCGCTATAGGTTGGTGCGCCGGTAGGACTGGGACACAGACGCATGTTACTTGTAATTGGGGCCATATAACTTAATAGAAACCACGCCCACCCGACAAGCGACTCACCAAATGAGTTTAACCTTTAAACTTTTAGTCATTTTCTGCCCAAACATTGCACTAAAATGAGTAAATCGAATCCTGTTTAAAGTATTAATTTGCAATCGACATAGAATAGGTGTTGAAGTGTTTATAATTATTGCAGTAAATAATAATCAAAAACGACACAGATTAGGACAAAGTCTCATTATTTTCTCTCTTTTTGTGTCCGTGTGTTATTTATGATCCAGACAGCAGAGCAGATGTGGATAAAAAAATACCACAGACGTTTTGTAAACTCCATGTATGATCTAGCAAACAACCTTTGTAATCTCTTTGTTGTATCCTAGCATTATGTCCTTCTTTTAATAATCTTCTCCTATGTTGCTGTCTGGGATCATGTCCTACTTTCCAGTTTCCTGTCCTTATGTGTTATATCATGTCCTACTGTCAGGTGTCATGTTATAATGTCTTGTATAATATCCAAATATATTGCAATCTATCCTGCAGTCTGGTATCTTGTCCTACTGTCAAGTATTTTGTCCTACTGTCAGGTATCCTGTCCTACTGTCTGGTATCCTGTCCTACTGACAGGTATACTGTCTTTCTGTTAGGTATATTGTCCTACTGTCTAGTATTCTGTCCTACTGTCTGGTATACTGTCCTACTGTCAGGTAGCCTGTCTTACCGTCTGGTATCCTGTCCTACTGTCAGGTATCCTGT